ACGCTCCCGTAGTTCTCTCATTGACGGTATTGCCATCAAAGCAGGGGATACAAGGAAGATGGTGCTTTCCAGAACAGTGTGGGTTTTGTCCACAGCCTGCTCTCCACGGACAGTGAATGCCATTAAAATCTTCCACTCCTTTCAAGCTGGCAGATCACAAGTGGGAAATGAGCAGCACCTGCAGTGGCAACCCTGAAATACCTGAAGTCACGCTACCCCTGCCTTACACTTTGCTTGAGGCCAGCAGGTGCCCATCTGAGAGGAATCACCCTTTTGGACCCATATCAGATGCTTTCCTGTTGCAAACCGCTGCCCTTCAGGCACATTTCTCAAAGCAAGGCAGGTTTCGGGACCTTTGCAATCCAGAGCATTAGTGCTTCTGCTTGCACCAGAGCTTCTTTCAAATGGAACAGGTATCTTTACAGTGCAAAACTGAAGCTTGCTTTCTTTTTTGGTTTGGATGCTAGATGCCTCTTGGACTTAGAAAAACGCTTTCCCTGTTGAGTAACAGCCTTGTATGTAGATCTCCCTAGGCCTACTCATTAAATTGGAGACAATTGTAGTTCAGTGATCACAGATCGCTGCTGTGCTGTTGACTCTTTGCATTCATTTTGTGTCTTTGTTCAGAAGAAACCATCAGGGGCTTACGAGTTGTTCTTACAGTGTATATTCTGAAGACGATGACTACTTGGGAGGTTTTGCGAGCACTCACATGTACAAAACATCTGCTAAAACCTCATTTGGCGTAGGGTGGTGAGCACATCTGCTCCTAGTTCACCTCCTCTAAACCACCTCATCGAAGCTGCAGAGCAGCACCAAGGGCCTCCTTGTGACAATTCAAGTTTGTGATGGTCTCAGGGAAGGTCAGGGTCAAACTAAAGCTCACGCCTTTTTTTTTTTTTTACTGCCTGCACAAGACTCATGCTTCCTCTGACACTGCAGCCTGGCCTCAGAGTGTCAGCTGCAACTCTTCTTCGAAAGGAATGCCACCTCTGTCTGCTCATTTGCCATCTGTCAGAGGGTTCCTGCTTCCATTTTCAGACGCCTTGATTAAAAGGGAAGGGATTTGCCTTATTTCAGCAAGGGGTCTAAAATATGACAAGACCAGCTCCTGCAGTAACAGATGATTTTAAGTGCTTTGCATGTACGTTCACAGTGCAGGTACTGTCACGCAACAATCATTTGTAAAACAAAAGGAGGTGGGTAACCTACATTGAAATTGCTTCTTGAAAGCAATGAAGTTAAGCTCTATCTCCTTTCACAATTACTTAACCCCATTAATTTTCTTCAGTAGAAGTTTTATTCTATTAGCATATCGCTTAGTAGTGAAACACAAAGCACAAGTAGAGATTTTATTTTAGGTTTAGACATAGCTAAAACAATTCTTTTTATTCTTCGATCAACAGAAGGAAAATAGACCATTTGCTATCATAGCAGTATGATATTAAATCCCCTCTTCTTCTTTCCTCCATCAAAATTCCAGCCTTACAACTGAATGGAGCATGAATGTTTTTTAGATATGCACCAGTCTATAAAAAAATACTTGCTCAACATCTCTCAAAAACTTTATATAGGTCAGGCAGGTTAGCAAGCTGCAAAATGTTGCCATCTTCTGCAAAGTGTTTAGGAGGTAAAAGATGAGTCCTAAATGCTTTGTAGAGTACATGTTCCACAGTCCATTTCCATGTTGTTGAAGCAGAGTCAGCATCTTCATTCTGAAATACAGGAAAAAAAAAAGGACAAAATTAAACTGAAATTCTCTTTTACTAGAGGAGAGCACTCATTTAAGAAACTTTATTATGTAGGACTATAGTGATTGTGAAATTCTGCTAGTATTAGAGAAGTTGTTCATTCTATACAGTCAAGTTAATTTTAAGCTCTGGAAAGTCACTTGCAGAAGGGGCTAGCTTAACTGAATGATTAAGCAGATACTTAGATACAAGCAGACTATATTTTTAATTTATATGCATCCTTATTCTTCTACAGAAATTTATCATCATTCAGCAGGTTAAAAAAATACATCCCAAACTCAGAGGCCAAAGACTGTTGTAATATTAAGTACACTGCAATACCCAAAGTTAAAAGGTTCTCTTAATACATTTAATACTTCAGAAAATTTAAGCCACGTTCATTCAGAATCTTGCCGCACTGCTACTTGATTCACTTCACTGGAAGTAGAGTTGGGAGTAGAAGTCTGTAGTTGAAAAAGAAGAAGTTTCCCGTGTGGTGGTAGTTGTTTGTTCACACGAGCAGTTACATGTTCTTGTACCTGAGAGTTTGTCACGTTGGCTTCATCTATTATATATTGCTTTCTAATGGAATAGAACATAGCTAATTCTTTGCTTAGGCTTTCAAAACACTCCTTTTCTTCATCCCAGTTTACCTGTTACAAGAAAAAGTCATCATTTAATAGAATCTGGGTAGACAGAGAATCAGAGACTTGATATTCTTAATATGGAGAAGTCATAATAATGTCTTGGCCATTTTTGTGCTGATAAGGTAAAGGTATAGAACAAAAAAAAAAAAAAAAAAAAAAAAAGAAAAAGGTAGAAATGCAGGCTTTCAAATCAAAATATATTCCCATTCAATCAGTAGTTATGAATGCAGAGGCAAAGCACAACTGCTCGGTAACCACAGCAGAAGTGGCTGGAACATGTAACAGTACATTTAACGAACTCCAGCCTTTCCTTTGCAGCTTCTGATGAATTAATTTGTTTCACTTCGTTCTTTCCTAAATAGAGAAAGTCATTTGTGACTAAATAAACTCATTAAGAGAATATACCTCTGTGGCCAAGCGAAGGATAAACATAGGCAGTCCTTCCAGCGGCGGAACATAGTTGTCTATCAGAAGTGGTAACCCAATAAGGTTTCCTTCCTGCAAGGCAACGCTGCTGCTTCAGTAAAAAAAAAACACAACAACGTTCTTTCTTGCAGTAAATGCACCAAAACTGTTACTATTGTAAGAGTGATTCTTACCAAGCTTAGCAAGCCTTAGGGGTATCTGAAGTTACAAGATTTTAAAGCCTGATGCCAGGCAGACATTGCAGGAAGGGGGTTAGTGCTGGCGTTTAACTTCACGAGGCCTGAATTTAAGCCACTCAGCTCAGGAAGACCTGAATTCAGCCTCCTCCTCTACCTCTAGCCACTGACTACACAGATCCCGCTTCCCAGGAGAATATCGGAGCAAAGTGTCTGGGTTACATGACCCTTGATGAAGTCGTTCAGTTTTGTATAAAGAAGGGGTGCATTAGGCCACACACACACACACACACACACAAAAAAGAGACACATTGAGAGCAATGGTGATGCTGTAGCCCTGCCTAGCGAGAGAGCTGGTTAAGCTGCACACCTTGTTGGATAAGAAATCTGCATTCTAGTTATGGAAGCAATGACTAAATTATTTTATTTGGTAACTAATTAAATATAAACTTCTTTGTGTAGCGCCCTTCTAAAAGCGGCATAAGTCCTGAGCATTTTTAATGAAAGGGGTCAGCCACCTAAATCTTACTGGAGCTAGTTCTTAGTGATAGTTAAGAACTGCAAGCAAACTACTGCTGTTATCTGTTACCAAAACGCAGAATCACAGAATCGTTTAGGTTGGAAAAGACCTTTAAGATCATCAAGTCCAACTGTAAACCTAACACTGCCAAGTCCACCATTCATTTACTGTCAGAAGTACTAGCAGCGGTCACCTCATCAATTTCAAGAGAAAAATAATCTTTCAACATCTCAGTCTTCTTTTGCAGAAACTCCACAATGTACTCAGCAAGGCCTTCCTTTGGGCCGTCTTCTTCTGTCCAGCCACTTTCAGGATCCTCCAAAGCAAGCATCGAAAGCTCATATAAAGGAGCTGGCTCCTAAAAACGGAGAAGGCAAAGCCGTTGTGAATGATCAACATGTTCTATTGGAAATCTTCTTCCTCCTCATGTAAACTAATTGCAATATGTTGCTTCCAGCCTGCAGAGCAAACAGTTCTGCATATCGTAACCAGTCTAAAAAGTATAGTTTCTTTCCGATATAATTCTGTGCAGTCCACAATCCAAAGTGCTGTGATATTTATAGGATAAATGCAATCAACACTGTATTTCTGATAGATTGTGTATTCAAATTAATTATTTGTCCCAATGTAACAAGCAACAGCAAAACTTGGTGAGTATCTAGAAGTGGCACTAATAAGCAGCAGCCAGGATGACAACTTACAGTAGTAGCTACAAAATTACTAACAGAGTTTTCTACATTCTATTCTTACTGTAAAAGAAACAAAAATATTGCTTTTGTAGCGGACAAAAACCAGCCTGTAAAACTATACATTTGTCTGAAAGGACAGGCTTATAGTCAATAAATTTAAAAAAAATCTTTTTATACAGGATATAATGTAAAATTATACTTACAGACAACCTTAAGACTCCAAAGTTTGCAAAGTCATAAATAAGTATCTGGTAGAAGAGTTCTTGGCTAAATTGAAGTACAAAAGTTAGTTATATGGACAGGATCATGTACCTCCAAGTTACCATAATTAAGAGGGGAAAGTAAGGGTCATCTTGGAAACATCAGCCATACATATCCATTCATATTAACAAAGATCTTAAACTAAACAGTTTAAGACTCACACACGCTATCTAGAAGTTTACAATTAAATCTGTCTCTTGGTTTCTGACATCATCAGCCACATTGGTGCAGAAATGTTACATACTCAAGCATGCAGCCGCTATTAGTCTATTCCCAGATACCTTCTATTTCAACCCTCTTTACTCCTTTGCTGCACTGCAAGAAGTGCACAGGAAATTGATAGACATGTCTATCTGCAGTCTATTCTCTTACCTGTTACAAAATTTACGTAAGGCCCTGTAAGGCTGCATATGCAAAAATACAAACTTCGTGTTACGATCGTGTCCTGCAGCTTCTCTGAACCCAACCGGATACATTTTACATCACTTTTCTGAAGTCTCTGCTTGCTCATCTTTATACGGCATGCTGTAGACCGGTTGCTGCTGTAGACGATCATGAAGCAAAAAAATATCTTTTCCCTTCCCCCAGTCTGTGAGCACACAATGCAGTAGCCGGCATTTTAATTGCACGGATTCCCTGCAACTTTTCCCAAGCATGCCAGGCTTGTTTCCACTGTTCTGAACAGATTGCTTAACCTCTAGCCTCATGACTTTTTGGATAGGTAACGAGAAAATGATGCTGTTTTTCCTGTCATTTCCTTCCTTCTTATAATTAGCTTGGTAACTGGTATTTATTTCAAGTGCCAACAAGTCTAACGGCTTCTTTACCTGAGTTTTGTTGTATTGAGAAGATACAGTTTTGTCTGATATTGGGCCAGAGCCCACTGAGGACTGACACAGCCAACAAATGAGTGATCGTGTAGCATCTCCTGAAGATCTGAAACAATTGAGGGGTGGGGAAGACAAAAAACGGATATAATTTCATATCCGCAATCCTGCCCCGATTTATTTAGTTGAGTGGTTTGTGTCTTTTTAGCATTAAAGTCTCAGATTACTGTTCAGTCAATACTATACCCCTGCTTCTTATAGGCCTGTACTACCAGTTATCCACGTTCTGAAATACTAGTCATTTGTGTGCATACACATATGCTCATATATATTAAAGAACAGGTGAGAATAGCTATATAACAGTTAAACTACAAATGCAAATTAAAAAAACCAAATCTCTGATTGGCTTGAATAGCCTTTCAAAATTCGTTTCCAGCCACAGGAGATTAGTAAGGGAGCAGACACACTTCAAAGAAAACTGCAGATGTAGAACAACTTTGCAACAAAATCTAGTATTGTCAGACTAAGTTCTGAAACTCTGATAGAATAGGTCCATAATTTATTTATTTTTCTCTCCCAAAAGTAAGTAAGTTTCCAGCCTTCTCATTTATATATATTGGTAGTTGCAGTCCCTGGGAGCAGCTTCATTACAGGAGCTTGGCACTGCAGTCACAGCACGCGCAAAACGCGACGCTACCCAAATTCCACTGTTACCTTTTCCAAAGGAATACGATATTGTGAGAAAAGTATTTCTTTCTTGCAAAACAGTCTCTTGTAGGTATTTCTTACACATGTGAAGACAAGACACATGGTAGAACTTGCACAGCTGCTTGAGCTTGTATTTTGAGACATTTTTGGACATTTTATGGCTCAAGGACAACTCTGATTTCAGTATTTAAACAATGACAATCAGATATGCAATTACCGGCTCAGAATTACCAGCTTAACGCAAAACTTTTTCTGGAGTACAAGTGAAGTGTAAGTACCTGCTTTCTAAAGATCAAGATTTTTAGTAGTTTGTAAATGTCTGCTGGTCTAGCCATTTTAGCTGTGGAGCGTCCCCAATTCTTACTACCAGAAAAATCAAAATAAATTCAACCCCCCCCCCCCCCAAACACGAGATTCCCAACATTTAGACTAACTGAATAATACAGGTTATGTGACTCAGTATGACTCTGAAGGCAACCAAAAAAGCTAAGAGGGAAACAACCCTAGGAAGAATTTCAAATCTTTTACCTTTTTCTAAAAGAACTCTTACCAGAAGAGAGAATAATAGATGAAATGATGAGACTGGTGAAATAAGTGGGACAGATACAAATGAAAGTGAAAAGCAAAAGCAGTAAATAAAAACGATGATTATCAAGCCTGTCCCAGTCTACTTCACAATTATGCAACTGAGCAAAATTTTTGCAGTGACCATATCGTAGCTGCATTTCTGTTTGAAAAACTACAAAATAACTTAGCTTTTCAAGCTGTGATTTTATAGCGTTATTAGTGATGATGCAAGTTAAGGTTTGCAAAATATTCAGAATGCATAAAATGTCTATCAGCTAACAAGGTACATGAAAGTTTTTAGAACAGTCCTCCAGTGTGGCTCAGTACGACAGGTGCCTGTTCAAAGTTTGGCCCTTGACGTTTAACAAGTATTTTTGTTAAAAGCTCACTTAGCAGCACAGTGAGCTGACTGGGCCACCTATTAAATATCTTTTTCCTCAGCAGTTCAAACAATCATATTCAGTTAGTGGAATAACAATAATCTCGAGAAGCAAAAGGCTTGCTTACTTGCGTGTGCCTGGTTACTGATTTCCTCCTGGAGAGTCAATACACTGGTCAAGTTGATAATTCTTCTCCTAGGGGTGCAGGCAGCAGTCATGTCCCTTCTGGTGTCGTCTTTCTCCATTTCTATGTCCGCGTCTTCCCGTGGTCTCTTTCTGCAATACCGAAACAAAAGCAATTATCTTCAATTCTCCTGTCACTTAGGCAAAACACACCAACAGATGGGATGCCCAGCTCACACGCCGTATGTTAGCACAGGAAATGCAGAAAGTTTACCAAAGCTTCTCGCAAAGAAAGACTGTTTTATTTTACTTCCGAGGCATAATTGTTAGGAAAAGGTAGTTCATAAGAGAATCTATGACTCTCTAATACCAGTCACATCAGACATCTGTTAAGCACCAAGCAAACTGGGCTCTAAAGGACACATCAAAAAATGTTGATATTTCTAATGATTTTTTTCATGATCATTTTTCTGTAATACTGGGGTGGGGGAAATCCACGTTTCCTGAGAAGACTTTGACCTCTCATAACAGCTCCTGCAGGAGCTATAAAAAGATTACAGCACTTTTATCTTTACTAGGGTAATGTCTGCAAAATTCAGTGATTTAGTTTCTATCCCCCACGAAAGGAGGGCCTCCAAAGAGACACCGTTCAGTATGATCTCCCTACAGTTGATGTCATTATTTATACTGCTTCCTGCCTTTCAGCGTGCATGGAAATCCCATTCCAGTTACAAAATTTATCACAAGTGATGTAATTTACAGTTCACAGATGAAGTTTAATTTCTCAATAAAATGCCATGGAAAGTTATTCTAAGAAAATTTTTCCTTCAGAAAAAGCAGAAGTTCAAAGAAATCAGAAAAATCTTCAGTTTCAGTGCCAAGCCATGAAATAAATAGGTAGCCTTGCATGACCTCAGGAAAGACGAGACTTACCGAGGAGGCACGGTCTCAGGCGACAAATGTCCACTCTCACTCGCCCCCCCAGGCATCACCGTGTCCTCCTGAACATCAGCCATTTCAACTAGATCACCGACATCTTCCATTTCAGCATCCGGTGGCCTGACCGCACCCTCCGGAGGTCCTGCCTTAACCTCTGTCGTCACTTCAGTGGGGCCTGTACTTAGGGGGTTGTTCACCGGCTGAAGAAAAGCATCCAGTTTCTGCTCTCGGGAATCAGTGCGGACCATCTGATGCGCGTAAACTTTATCACTGGTTCCTTTGGTAGCTGCAGAAGAGTTTGCTGATGCTTTTACAACCTCACTGGAAGAACAGTCGGCGCCTGGAAGCAACGTCTTCATTCGGATATGGGGAAGTGAAGAGAAGAGATTCAACAACAACAAGAAAAAAAACCACAAGGATCAGCCACATTTCTCACAGCATCTTACTGCTCAGAGGCAAGTAACTTTCAAGCCCCACAAACGCAATGTCAACTGCTTCAACAGGCTGCCAACTTTGCACTTGCTAGACAAATAGCATAAATGTCATCATCTTGGCAGTTCATGAAATCATTAGTTAGCATTCCCTTATCTCAAAGGGAAAAATCTTTAATGTAAAAAAAGCACAAGGAAAGTTGTTTTTTTAAAAAGATTATAGTTATAATTTTAAACTCCGCTGTATATAGAGAGATATTAGAAAATCTTCTTTCTGATTTTTTTTTCCAGTTAGATTAAATCCAAGGTGTTATCAAATACATAGAACAAACAAGTTCCTCAAGTCACACATCCTCCACATAAACCAGGGCAGAATAAAAACGATTTACCACATGTGAAGACTAATATACTCATAAAATCAAAAAGACTGAACAGATACTTGACAGAGAAGTATTTAAAATGTTTTCATGCACTTTTTCTCCAGTCAGTTCGCTGCCACATTGTTAGCATGGGTATATTAAAGCAATTTCATCCCTGAAACACAGAGCAAAGATCTCAAGCTACCGGTGTAACACTGATGACTATCAATCACTGCATACCTTGTACTACTGAACAGAGTAAATGTATCCACAGTAGTTAAAATAGGGCAGAGCCCTGGTCACTTCAAACACATGTTCTCACCTGAGTGAAGTACATCCTTGAAGAATTAGAGCCCAATAATTTGCTCTCTACATGTTGTTGCACACGCTCTAGAATACTATCTTCATGAAGGAAATGGACCTCATGTTTTGTAGGGTGCACATTCACATCTACATTCTGGGGGGCTATTTCCAGGCTGGAAAACATTTTAAAAGAAGTTAACCTAAAGTTTCCCATGGGTGGCAGAGACAGCACAAATTGGTTCAGTACAAAATTTGTCAGACTTGGGGCCATCGCTCCATGCAGAGTAGCCAAAATATTCCCGAAATCTGAAGTTATACCAAACAAATCTGACTGTAGTGTATTAAAAAGTAACTACTCCGAAGAACTCTATTCCAAACTCACCAAAATCAGCTTACGTAGGTAAGCTTAAACCAATCTCTCCATTGTACTACTACAAAACAGTTTTTAGAAATATCTTTTACTTGCAGTGTCTCATGAGTTAATGCTTCTGATGCCCTGTCGTTTAGCAATAATCCCAAGCAGGAATTCAATTAAATGCTGCAATGCAAGATCTTTATTGTTAGAAAGCCCTGGATATCCATAAATTTCACTGGTAAATGGCAAGATTCAATTGGTTAGCAGTTACAAAGCCAGGTCTCCCATTCTTAATCATATTCTGCAGTTCTTAAAGGACAGTTTCAGTTCAATTTTAGCTATTACTTGATTTTTAAAAAAAATATATTTATTTCCTGTAAGCAGTATGCAATTCACTTCTTTTTGTTGCACTAGCATACCAAGAACAACTGATAAAAATAACAATACAAATATAAATCCCAGCAAGGAAAAATGTTAACGAGTTTGGAATAAGTTATCTGACTGGTCTTAAATGCTCTGCTGTACTCCTAGCGTAACTTGTTTTCCTAAGCGAAGAACATCCATAATGTCAAAGGACTTAAGCTGAAATTACAGACACTCACTGCTTCTGAAAATTTAGATTTCTTTAATGTGATTGATTTTTATAACATTAAAAGATACACAGTGAATTCTCTCCTGTCTGGCAATTAGTTACCTCAGTGCAATGCTTAACACTACTGTCAGGAACACAGCTGTCCTTCTAAACCTACTGACCCTAGCTATATCCTACAAGATCATATTAAAAGGCTGCTTCTTCCTATTACTTTACCTTAAGTATAGGAATGGATGTGTACTTTTTGGCAAATATGCAGCATACACAGTTTCTATGGCTTTCCGCAAAGCGGCTGACTCTACCAATCGATCTGAAACACAGAACAAAATGCTATTTTCAAAGTGCACCACTGAAATACACTGCACAGTGTCCAACTACTCCTTCAGGCCAATGTTTTCACGCTTCATGTCTTCAAAGGGCATCCATTATACCCATTTTTCCCCGAGACCTATTTATTCTTCATATAAAACCAGGAATAGGCAGTATCTTCTTAGTATTTTTTATATTTAGAAGTATTTTTTCCACAAATACTGAAATAACCAGACTACCTTTTCATTATTTCATACAGTCAATGTTTGTTGCATCCCATGCCAATGCTGCTACAGAATGGAGAGACCACTCTGTGTGAGTCGGCAGGACACAATCGTAACCTTGATACTCCGCAAGCTTAAGTTTCTTTAGGCCCAGTCTTAGCTGCTTTCCACTGTTTCGAGTGCAAAGCATGATGCACATTACAAATAGAAAAACACCTTAAGACCTACAATTAACTGTAATACTTACTCTTCAATGTTTTTAAGAATGCTTATACATTTTTCAGTTCTTCAGAAAGTTTTGTTCTTCTGATTATTATGCAAGCAACATATGACTGTACAACATGCTTTTTTTTTTTTTTTAAAACTTACGGTTTATGAAGAGTAAAAATATACATTTCTTCACAGAGTAGTTTGCATTCGTGATGTAGCCTTTCATTTTAAAGGCCAGACTTGCATCTTCACAACCCACTTCTATCAGTTCCCTATTGAAAGTTTGACAGAAACACACACAAAAAATGAATTTTTCTGTTGATGCAAACTTCAAACAGTGCTCATGAGTAGCAATATATTGTTCTATATTCTATTTATATCACAGTTAATGAAAACGTTAGAATTATTTGAGAGTTCAAACATTCATTGCCGAGTCACAAAAATTATTTAACCCGAACTGCATTGTTTCTTCTTTCTAAGTAAATGTAAAATAGTAATACAGTATGATTGCAGTCTGTAAAACTATCCACAGTATCTTTTTAATAGCCTAACATATCACAGTATCCGTAATATTATAGCCATCTATTGATAATTCTAATATGCATTTCACCATTTAAGTCATTGACAGAGACAGACAAGGACAATTCAAAATAGTCAGCAGCCAGGGAAGAACATTCTTGTTCTTGAACTACTCTGTCCACTTTTGCCAGTCTAATACTTATTGGTGGGCTGCTAAGAAGTCATAAAAATGTAAACTTTTTTTCTTGCTCATGCATACGGGTCCTAAACATTAACAGTTTTCATAACAGGTTTTTATAATTTTTCATGATTCATCAGTCAAGGAAATCCACTTTGGTAGTTGGTGAGCACAGCTCTCTAGCAAGGCATTATGCCAGCTTCTAAAGTTAACATAGAAAAGGCCTATGGGCTACTCATTTCCAATTCAACCTCAATATATACTGACTGCCATTTTTATTTGTGTTCATTTTTTAAGTCGAAATAACAAGCTAGACTAAACACCATCTTGAATTGGATAAAATAAAAGTTTCACTTCAAAACATCTGATCAAAACATTTAAGTTGAAATGGACAATTTATTCAGAACTGTACAAAGGGAAAACTGTATCAAATAAGCAGTAGCAATAGACAAAAAAATGTGTAACAAAGAAATACAAACAACACCGCAAACCTTATCACTAAACAGCCTCTCTATTTTGCTGTGTTTCATAAAGGTGTTTACATGTATTAAAAGTTACATTCCTTAGATGTGAAGTGTGATTTTTAGTAACTGAATCAAATCGACACCCAAGTATTCATGGGACAAATCCATTCCACAAGTCCATTCAATGAATTCTTCACAGCGGAATGTCTTATAAAGAGAGAATTTTTCCTAAAGTGCAGATACATTTTCAAAAGACAATTGGTTTTATTTGTTTTCAGCTTTTCTGCCTGGCTTACTCAGCCTCAGCTAGTGTAGCTTTTGTCAAAATATTAAACCATAAGATTTCAGAAAAATGAGTTTGAGGAGACTTCAAAATTTATCAGATAGCAGACTGTGGTAAGATTTTCATGGTGTAGGAAGAGCCTAGGAACATGTGGAGAACACAGGTACAGCTTGCTCTTTTTAAATGAGCACACAGAAAGTTACAAGCAGATGGTTCCCTTGTAGTACATTAAAGGAACAGCTTTGCAACTTCCCTCTTTCCTTTGATATACTTAAAAAAAAGTCACACATTCTGCAAGCCAAGGGAGAGCTCTGTTATTGCAACACTCCCTCTTCTCTGTAATTCACCTTGAAGGAAGCAGGAAAAGTTAGCAGAGCCCATGTTCTTCACAAGAGAAAGGGGAGGGAGACTTTCTAGTAAGCTTCATGTCAAAAGGAAACTTGACATCAACATACCTGCTAACAGCATTTCCAAAGATGGACCTAATGTTGTCCACCGTTGAGGCATTTGATAAGGTTCTAACATCTGACACGGTATCACCTTGCTAAGGAGAGCAGAAATGAGTATCAATCAATTCACAGTTCTGGCTGAAGTTTTAGAAATACACTGAACTTAACAATAACGTTTCTAACAAAAAGGCATGGGACATTAATACAAAACATTATAATGATGTTACTATTTACTTATTTGTGTTCAGAAAAGCAATAGATGGTAAATGGCACAGGATGACAAGATTTGCTAGAGCACATCAGACCCACTCAAGGCTAGTAACTCCATCTTTGAAAGCGAGGAACATAAGCAGTTCCGTAAATAATTATCAAGAATGCCGCAGAATGAAGGTACTCCATCCCATCCTCTTTCATACAGTTATTAGTAACCAGACTCTCAAAAGAAGCTGAAACAGCTCATAAAGCTACAAAAAAATAACATGTTGACCACACAGAAAACTCCAAACTCCTGACAAATACATTTGTCTTGTTTACTTTCAACTAATGTGTTTTCTATCCAAACTGCATCAACAAACACGTCAGCATTTCAGTACAAGGCAAGGCTCTATACACTACTCCCACTACAAAAGATGCAGTGCACATTTTCTGGCATTTTCATATATACACATTATATATATACACATACACACATATATACAGGCATGCAGTGAAGTTAAGGACTTTATTTACATACCTTTTTAGCTGAAAAGCTGATTCCCGAGTTATGGATGGCATACCTGAAAAATAGGTAAACATAAGACGGCAGTATGTGAAAGAAAAGGTTACTTTCCCTGAATGCTGAAAAGCAGCGAGTAACAGGGGCAATCTCATTTCCTGTTACACAGTAATGGGATTCGAGCCCAACTGAGCTTTTGTAGACTACACAGCTAAAAAAATAAATGTTTTCTATTTATAACTCATCTGTAACCATATGAAATTCAAGGATCAGTTAGCTTATTTCTCAAAAAAACCCTGATAAACTTCTAGAGAGCTCATTAGTTCAGTTTCATTGCATAGGTTTAACTAGAAGAACAGCCAAACCTCCTCAGTATAACGGAATCAAGTCTCACCTACGAGGGAGAAGGAACTGACAAATGGCTGGCTCGCCCTTCTAACCTCCCCTACCCAGATGGTTCAGCTGCCTGTGACACCAAGGTCAAGTTCTGATACGCTACAGCTGCGTAACGCTGGCTCAAACTCCTAGGGAAGTTGCTAAGCTGGGAGAAAGAACACACAGTAGAACCTTGCAAGACAAGAAACGTACAAATGCAGACAGGTTAGACCGTTGTGACCGGGACAGTTAGCAACTCAAAAATTCAAGAGGGAAAAAAAAAAACAAAATGAAAAGATATAAAATCCTAACGGAAAAACGCCCCAATGAGTTGGAAGCCCGTCACTCAGCAAGACTTCAGATCAGCCTGTTCCACAGAGCAGCGGGACCTGGCCCTCCACCTCGTGGCTGAAGTCTGCCTGGTCTGAAGACCCTTAAGTAGCTCATTCAGGGAGCAGGCTAACGCTTAGCATAAAGTCTTGCTACTCTTTGCTAGCTTTTGTTATTACTGAAAGCATAAAGCAGTTATTTTGGTTACATTGTGTAGATCCTGCTTGCAAAGTCTCTGCACATGGCAAAAGATACAACAAAGGGAGGCAGGAAGGGAACATCTGGTAGCTAAAGTGATTTTTTTTTTTTCTTTTTAACAACGTGAAATCGCCATTCAGCTTTTTCATATTCAGCCAAATCTCAATGCTCTTGCACAGTTTTTACTTGGCTTCTATTCAGTCCAAGTTCATTGAGAGTTCACTCATTCAAGTCTATCACCATTTGTTTGCTGGAATTCCTATTAATAATAGTCATAGACTGAATACACTGTTTCTACTCTGGATTTTCTGCATCAAACTGGACTGTTATCTGACACCATATACTAACAAATAGTTAAAAAAACCCTCAAAAACAACAACAACAAAGGACACCACACACACCCCACTCCCTCTGAAAAACCCCAGTACCCTCAATGGCAGTAGAAAAAATTAGAGCCTCCTATTTCAGTTTACCTGCCAACAACTTCTAGTATTTTTGCATATTCTTCATTTGGATTTTTTAAAGCTTTCCTCCTTGTATTTACATTGTAAAAAAGATCTTCAACCTACAGAGAAAAGAGATCACAGTTAAAAATTGTTTTAAAAATCTCCTCTCATTATATAATTCATCTAAATCCATCCTCTTAATAGCTACTACAAAATTTTCTGAAAACATTTTAGTTTATGAAGGATAAACATTCAATTTATTCCTTACCTGCTTAGGTTCACCTAACAAAATGCACCTCCAGAGAAATGTATGTTTTCAAGTATTTTGGTATATCAGTGTTTTTACCCATAACAACAATTCTACCACTCACTTTTCAGTGAGTTATATGCTTTCCATTGCAGATGACAATGGATTCCCTGGTTACACTGTGTTTTAATGAAATGCAAATAAATGTTAAAAGTTGCTGCAATCAAGGCTGTTAATGTCATTAAAACAGCATCTTAAATTGTTCATTTTCACCATTTATTTAAACAATACGCAAATTATTTCTCTGCTATAGTGAGAAAGGCAGAAATTTAAAGTTCAGATACATTATCCTAAACATTGACATGTGAAGCTTGCTGGGTGTATGTTCCCACTGCAAGACACACACCTGCAGACTCCCAGGCCAGACTTCCACTTTCCACCCTACACTGTCCAACACGCACGCTCCTTCCCATTCTGGGCTCCTTGTTCTTCATAATCCCGCTGCCAATCCTGATCCCAACCCACATTCAAAGCTTGGCAGATAAGAAAGATATGACTGAAAGACAAACAGTGGTTCTGCAGTTTCCCGTGCCAGCCCTCATCTTCCCACTCTGGCTCATACGATGTGGACCACTCCTCCATATTCTGAGCTTCTTGCTTCTTGTAGCCCTAACTGTCCATTGAGGCTTTCAGCAGTCCAGAAGGATTATGAAATATTTTTGACAGTATATGACTACGCTATCCTCAGAAGGGGAAAGAAAAAAAAAAAAAAAATCTTCTGAAGTTTACCTTGCTGTCTTTGGGGAACAAAACAAAAAAAACCCAACAAAACCACACAACAACATCATTTGGAAAATATTCTATAAGGTGATACTGTCATGTACCTTACAATGTAACACGTACCAATAAGCGGTGCAAGCATAACAACCAGGGAACAGAAGAGGGACAAGAGAGAACATGCACAAAACTTACGGTGATCTGAGTTCCTTGGTTTCCAGCACATGGTTTCGGAGGGGCTTTAATTTTTCCATCACTGTAAGTAGCTCTAGGCAGAAAATAAAAATAAATAGACAAGAGTTTACCCTACATTGGCTGCTGAAGTAGAATTCCTTTTAAGATTATCTTTTTTCCCCTATTTTTAAAAGATATGGTTTAGCTAAAAGCTTACCTTTACAATTTGGAATAATTTAAAAAAAAAAAAAATTACTCAAACTATGTTTTCTCACATTCTGAGTCTTTTTTGTAACTACCCTAGAAGTGCATACCCCACCCTCCTCCTTAATAAGAGCACTGAAAAGAGAATTAAATACATCTGTTCATTATTACATGCAGCAGAAGTCACTTGGATAATAGGTAGCATACCTGTACGCACACTTTGCATCAGCTGTTTTAGTTGTTACCGTAACGTGGGCAACATGACTGATGCTAGCCAACGCCTAGAGAAAGAGAAAGCATCTTTGTAAACCTTGCTCTGGAGACCACCGATTGCTGAGGGAGCGTCCACACTTCAAACAGCATCACTGAATTCTGATACACCACTTGCAGGTAATTATTAAAAGACCCTCACAAGAAAATTGCCGGTCAGTAAAGCTTTAACAAATTTTAGTACCTATAACACTGACTTCTACCCAGGACCTTCTTTTGGCTTTTCTAACGCTTCATTATCTCTGACAATGCAAGCAGCTAACCATGTTACACAGCTAAAAGAAATTTGCAAAGTTATTACAGTTGTACTCTTTTCTTCCTTTCATGTTAACAAAAGACAGCTGGAAGGTTTTAGCCATTACTTCCTCATCCCCGCCCTCCTGACTGTAGGTAATATTAAAAAGTTAGGTTACAATGGTTTTCCTGAGAAACTCAATGGATGTGTCTACACAGCCTGCTGAAACCAGCCTCAGGACCAGACTCCACTGGCTGTGCAGCTGATTCTGTTGCAAGTGCGTGAGGAGAGAACTCAAGCAGTCTATTCTCTGGAGCATGCAAGGATCTACGTATCTGAGCACAGGCAATACACTTTTATGTCTTGTTGTCCACCTGGAGAGGAAAGCAGAACTCACCCTGGACTGTTCTTTCTGACAAGTTTAGATACAGCCTATGGGAATCTGGAGAACTAGTATATCTGAGGGGTCAGAGATACTGAATTTGACTAATAGCAAAAGCAAAGGAAGACAAATGTACATTTCAAATATTTAAGTACTGTATTTAGACAAATGTCTGACATCAAAGATTCACCTTCCACTCAAATCTTTCACTGTCTTTTACCTGTAGCTTCCTGAAGCAACATTTGAGAAGACAGGCCTTATTTTACTTAAAAAAAAAAAAAAAATCTTACTCCAGAAAGCAAAAAGAATATATACGTCTCCCTAGGCACCTATTTGGTCTTGAAAGACAGAAACGTATTTTGAACTATACTCACACGGCAGACTCTCTCAGAAAATAGAAGCTTCTGTAAAGAGTATTGGCAATGAGATAGTATGTAAACCCCACTACAACAGGAAAACAACAAACCTTGATGAAGAGCTTACCTCGCCCCTAAAACCATATGTAGAAATACTAGCCAAGTCTTCAAATTTTTGCAGTTTACTCGTAGTAAATCTCTCGCATACAATATCCAGATCTTCTTTCTATGTGAGAGGGACGAGTAATAGTCATTTTCCGTTTCCAAGTTTTTTTCAAGATCAGAAACATTTATAAATTGAAATAAGTTTTAAAAGGTAGTATTAAACATCAGCATACAGCTGTCAGCTTTGTTTACTCACTCTGATACCGCAGCCGTTATCTTGGACCTGGATGAGCTTCAGACCACCTTCTTTCACTACTACCTGGATACTGGTAGATTTAGCATCCAAACTGCAGAAACCAAGAAAGCATTCTCGGGAACAGCAGCTCGAGAGCACAGAGGGCTGTACCACTTAAACTGAATTTCAAATCACTCTCATACAAGTGACAGCTTGTTTCTACTCTAGCCGTCGCTCATACCGGAATTTATTCTGTTTCAAGTAAATCTTTACTGTCCCCTTCCTTTTTTTCCTTCTAACAGCAGCGGTATGTTATTCTAAACCCCACGGCCTGGCAGCGGCGAGGGCAGCCGCCGCGCGCCCGAGGCCCCCAGCCCCCTCCCGCCTTACCAGTTCTCTATCATCTCCTTGATGGCGTTCGCCGGTCTCTGGCTGCCCTCGCCGGCCGCGATGCGGTTCACCACAGCTTCATCCAGCCGCCGGATCACGCCGGCCATCTGGGCCCTGACAGGAGCCCGGCCCGGGCAGCTGCCCCGCGGGAAGGGGCGCCCGAGGCGCGGAGGCCGGCGGCTCGGGCAGCCCCAGCAAACGGGTCTCTGAGGGGAGAGGGGGGCACTAAGGGGAACCCCTGGGTCAGCGGGGAGCGGGAGGGAAGCGGGGAGGGGAGGTCGGCGCGGAACGCCGCTCCGGCGGGGCTGAGGGGAGGGGACAGAAAGGGCCGCACGGCCCCGCTCCCGCCAAACCACCGCCCGCCTCCCTGAGCGGGCGGCTCTGGGATTGGGGGGGGCGA